TGGGATGAGGTGGGAGGGGCGGGCATCTCCTGTCGCCAGGGAAGCCCTGGCAGGTGAGGCGCAGGGAGAGCGGTGATGGGCTTTATGCTTTGGGAAGATCGCTGGCTGCCATGCAGAGGGCGACCTTCGCGCCAGGAACAGATGCCGGAGGCCTGTGCCCGAGTGGAGGTGGTGGCGGTTGGAACAGCTCAGTGCCCTGGTGGCGGGAAAGAGCTGGATCCAGACCTGCCTGGGAGTTGAAGCCAGCAGGGCTGGCCGAGGGGCTGAACGTGGGCAGCAGAATCAGGGATGCCCCTAGGTTTTTGGCCTGAGCACCTGGGGGGGATGAAAGTGACACCAGTGGCTGCTGGTTCGGAGGACGGCAGCTTGGAGGTGCCGGTGGGGCTGTGAGGTGGACGTGCTACAGGCGGTCAGAGGGAGCCAGGCTGCAGACAGAAAGGCGAGGGCCACGGGGGTGTGCGAGGAGCAGGGAGCCTGTGACGTGCCCAAGTTCACAGAGAGCCGAGGCCAGGATTTCGCTGGAGCCTGTCAGACTCCAAAAGCCATAGGAGCGCTTTCCACGGCAGCAGGTCCTCAAGGGGGGAGCCAAGGGGGCTTTGTCTGAGGCATGGGGGGCGGCTACAAGGCTGGAGGGGAGGGAGGAGCCCCCTGAGAATGAATTTGGGAACCATGTGGGCCACCGCGGGCTGCCCAACCCTAACTACAGCCTGTCTGGCTGGGGCAGCCCTGTCCAGCGTAGAGTCCCGGCCCAGCCCATTGTACAGATGGAGAAACTGAGGGCCAGAGGAGGGCAGGACTGGTCTGGGTCTTCTTCCTGCCCTCGCCTCCGGCCTCTAAGTGGGATCCTGCCTGAACCAACTCAGTGGTCGAGGTGAAACAATCCACCAGTGACAATCCTGGGGGTGAGGGTGGGTGGGTGTTCTCGTCAGGCCTCCAGGTGGAACTGGGGCCTGGAGTCTCCCCTCCAGGTCGCCCCCAGTGGGGTGTTTGTCCCATGCCTGCCTCCACCCCTGTGCCACCCATCCCCCACCGTCACGACCCCTCTAGGTCCCTGGCAGGACAGGCTCCAGCCTGACTCCAGTTCACCCAACCCCTCGCCCCACCCCAGGAGGGGAGCTGCCTCTGGCCTCCTCCACCGACACCCCCTCCCCCCAACCCCATCCAGTCGCCACCAGTGGGAAAGGAGCCGAATGGCTTCGGCCACATGTGGATGGAGAGGGCTGGGACTGGGGGCTCAGGTGGTCCTAGGCCCCGCCTCAGAGCCTCTTAGGAGGGAAGTTCGCCTGATCTGGGGGGCGGGGGGGACACGTCTCCTTAGCCTCAGGCAGAGAACAAAGCCCTGAGAGTCAAACAGATCTGGGTCCAAGTCTGGGTCCAAGCCCTCAGTTTCTCCATCTGTACAATGGGCTGGGCCCGGGACCCCATGCTGGACAGGACTGCCCCCCCCCCCCCCCCCGCCACATCCTCGCTGAGCGGCCTTCGGCAAGAGACTTCACTTCTCTGTGCCTCAGTTTCCCCTTCTGAAAAGTGGCCCTCCCAGTACCCCTGCCTCCCAGAACGGTGGTGAGATGACCTAGAGTCCCCTGTCCTGTGTAGGGCATGGCATACAGTAGGTCCTCAAGGGACATGAGTCCCTGGCCGATCAGTGGGAGCCAGAACAATCCCAGGGGATGCCTGGGCCTGGCGGGGCAGGCCGGGAGAGCCTCGCTGATTCAGACCAGCTGGGGGATGGGGCGCATCTGACTCCACTAAAAGCCGCAATTAGAGCCCAATTTAAAGAAACGCTGTGTTAGTTCTTCCCAGGGCAGATGTGATTACAGGCTTAGCACTAAACTGTTACTAACGGGATGACACAGAGAGGCCCCGACCAGGGCCTGGCAGGAAGGCCAGCCCTGCTGCCGTGCTGTACACCTGGGGAAACCGAGGCCCGAGCAGAAGGGGGCGCGCTCCGGCTCACACTGCAGGTTGGACTGGGACCAGGACCGAGCCCTGCCTCCTGAAGGTCCCTCTGAGCTCTTCCCCGCCTCTTGCTTTTCCCTGAATGATTTATCTCAGCGTCTAGAGCAGCGGTTCTCAACCTGTGGGTCGCGACCCCTTTGGCGGTCGAACAGCCCTTTCACAGGGGTCGCCTAAGACCATCCTGCATATCAGATATTTACATGACGATTCATAACAGTAGCAACATTACAGTTATGAAGTAGCAACGAAAATAATTTTATGGTTGGGTCACAACACGAGGAACTGTATTTAAAGGGCCAGGAGGTTGAGAACCACTGGCCTAGAAGCTATAGGCACCTTGAAGGAGCGAACCTCCCTTCAAGAGGAAGGATAGGGCTGAAGCTCCGAGAGGAAGTGGGACCTGCCAGATTTGGGGGTCCCCATACTGTCCAAATGCCCCCCTAAGGAGTGCTGAGAGCAATGTCTTTGGCCTGCCCCCCACCTTAGTCCCAACCAGCCTCCCGATGTCAGAGCCTGAGGTCACCCTGCCCTAGTCCCCAACCCCTGCACCCTTGCCCAGGCAGAACTCGAGTTGGCACTGGGTCCAGGGAAGGGGAGGGAGAGGGAAAAGCTGGCCACCTCTCTTCCTCCCCCTCCTCTCCCCTCCCCCTCTGCAGCTCACTTTGGGGAGCCCCTGGGTTCCCAGGGCCTTGGGAGGTAGAGTGCTGGGGCCCCCTGCTGGCCAGGTGCCCCCTCACCGCCGCAGGTGGGGAAGGTTCTTCATTCATAGAACAAATATTTATGAAGCCTCTATTATGGGCCAGACTCCGGTTAGGCACTGCAGCTCAGCAGAAAACACACACGGATCCTCCCTCCTGATGCCTATGGTCCCACCGAGGTGACTGGCGTCTCATGTTCCGTCCACGCTCCAGGGGACCGTCCCCATCCCCAGAAAACGGAAAGCTCCCCGTGGGCAGGAGCTGCCTCCCCCACAGACCGATTCCGGGGGGGGGATGGCTGTGACATGGCCACCAGGCTGAGGCCGAAGCTCTCAAACCTGCCATTCCTGACAAACCGCCCCCTCCCTCCAGAGCCGCCCGGCCAGCGCTGCCAGATCAAACACAGGATGGCCAGTTAAACCTGAAGTCCAGATAAACAAGGAATAATTTTTATTTAAGTATGTCCCAAATATTACATGAGGTATACTTAAACTAAAAATTATTCCTTGTTTATCTGAAACTCAACCTGAACTGGGCTCCGTGTGTTTCGACTTGCTAAATCTGTCCACCCTCCCCCAGAGCTCATTCCTCCTGCTGTCACCTGGCCTGACCAGATGGCCCAGGCCGTGCCTGGACACGGCCCCTGCCTGCTCCGTCGTCGCTCCTGCTGGCCCCCAGCACCGCCGCCCGCCCCCTGCGGCCCTAGCCCCTCACCTGCCCCTACCTGGCGTGCACAATCCAGCCTACGGCCCCGTCAGGAATGCTGCCGGGCCTCCTGCATGACAGGCCCAGAGAGAGGAGACGGGGCACAGCCGCAGAGAGGGGCTGTGAGCGTCAGAGACCAGGGGGCAGAGGCACAGAGATACAGGGCCCCAGAGAGTGAGCGGATGGGGGTGGGGGAGAGTCGAGACAGTGGGTGCCTGAGGGCCTCAGAGGCCCACCAGGGTTTGCTCTGAGTGGACTGGGGCCAAGGCCGGGCAACCCCTGGGAGGCAGCTGGGAGTCTCCTGACTGGCGGTCAGGGGTGGGCGTCCGCCCCAGCCCCTGCTGTCTTCCCCTTGCCATGCCTCCCAGGAACAAACACAAGGACATTCATGGCGTCCCAGAAGGGCCCATGGGCAGCCAGAGTGGCTTTTAAAATTAGCCTGGCTAACCAGATCTGGTTATTTCAGGAGGCTCCATCCCTGGCTGTCCCCTTGGCGGGACGGGTGCAGGGAGGGACCTCCACATTCCAGGGTCCCTGGTTAAGCACCCCTGTGGCCTGAGCAGCAGAGAACATCCAGGTCCCAGTTCCCTGGCACTGGGCGGGCCTGCGCCTGTGGCCTCTCTTTGGTAACGTGGCCCCAGGGCTGGCCATGATGTCCAGGGGCGACACAGAGAGGCCCCTACCAGAACCTGGTGGGCGTGGCTTCTATGCCATGTGCTCCAGAGGCCAGGCCAGGCCCCTTCACAGTGTGAGGTAGGGCTTCGCCCCCATTTCACAGTGAGGCAACTGAGACCTGGAGAGACAGGTTCCAGCTCTAAGGCAGAGACGGGGGTGCCAGGTTTGCCAGGCCCCCAGGTCCCTCCGCGGGAGGCCTCTTGCCTCCTGCGTCAGGAGAAACCTCTGGCTGCCGTTTCCACCACCAGAGCTATTTCTAAGCAGAGTCCAGCACTTCCCGGAACCCGGTGCCCCCCGCCCAAGCCTAATTCCAGCCTCGGACAGTGTCCTGGCTCGCCCTCCCCACCTCATAACCAGGGTGAGCATGGAGCTGGCACGTGTGCAAGAGAAACAGCCCTGGACACTTTGATCCCAGAGGCCAGGCCTGTCCTCAGCCTCCCCCAGCCCCACCTTGGAGCCCAGAGGAGGGGTGGGCGGGGTGGGGGCCCGGCGGAACCAGAGGCTGCAGACAGGACTGGCACAACCCAGGGCAGAGGCAGGTTCTGCTCTCCACGCTGCCCCTGCGTCTGCACAACAGAACCCAGCGCTCTGGCTCAGCTGTGGGTCAGAGCCGTGGGGTGGGGCACCTTGTAAAGGGATACAAGTGGGTGCCCGAGCTCTTTTATAAAAGGATCACCAACCCCCCGGAAAAGCAGGACGCTGAGGCTCAGGGAAGCAACTGACAATCGTCCAGCCCCAAAGCCTCAGGTCGGACGTCTGTGCCCGGCCGGCCCCAGGTACTCCATCCTCCACGCTGACCAGTGACCCTGCGCCCTCTGATGTGGGTTAAGGATGTGGTCCTCATTCATGGCTCCTCACCACCACACACACTATTTTTGGAGTCCACCATGGGCCAGGGCTGAACCAAGACATTTATGAAGTATCACCTCACTGAACCCTCACATCAGGGTACCAAGGTCAGGACTGTTCACATCCCCACTGTACAGATGAGGAAACTGAGGCCCAAAGACCCAAAGTAACAGAGCTAGAATGACCTCCGAGCCAAGCTCTTGACCTTGGTGCTGAACGGTGGCTGCTGACCCTTTGGGGTGAGATGGGAGGAGACAGGTGAGGGATTGAGACAGAGTTCTGAAGAGCCAGGACCTGGGAAGGGGTGTGAGGTTAGAGAACAGGGGTGAGGCTGAGCAGGGTTAGGGTCAGGGGGGGGGGATCCACTGAGCCCAGGCCAGCCTAGAGCCAAACTCCAGTGGGTGGGACTGGGGGTTGGGTGTGAGTCACAGCCCCTGGGTGGCCCCAGACATCTGAGTGTCAGAGGGGGTCCCCGAGCACGGCAGCCCCTGGGGTACATCAGCATCATCCTGGGGAGGGTGTGGGGGCTGGTGGCGGGGAGGAGGGGGCTGGAAGGCTGTCAGGAAGACCAGGGCACATCTGATCCCACTGGAGCCCAATCCTGTGCCTACCCCCATGCCCAATCTTCTCCAACTCACCTCCCCCTGCCCTTCCTCCCGTGCCCCTATCTCAGAAATCCGCCCCCTTCACCCAATACCCAGGCCGACCCTTGAGAGCCTCCTCACCTCCCCCTCAGCCCCACATCCCAGCAGGCCCTTCATCAGATGCTCAGACCTCCTAATGCCTTTGAGGGTCCCTCTCTCCCTAGCAGCCGCCTCGATCCTCCCCTCCCTGCCCTGGCACGCTCAGCCCGTCTCCGCCAGCAGCCCTCAGTTCCCGTCATGGCACTCCCGTTGTAAGTCCTCCATGCCTCCCTGTCACCCTCAGCACCAAGCCCTGTTCCTTGGTCTGGCATTCACGCCCGTGTGGCTCTTCTCCGTCCATCTCCATCCCCTCAGTCATTACATCCCGTCATCAGAACTGTTTGCCACCTTCCCACTCCAAGCCCTGTCTCCCTCCCTCAAGGGCACTTTCCTCAGCCTCCCCAGGGCTCAGGCACCACTGAGCCAGTCTTCCCTGCGCCTCCCTCACCGAGGCGGGCCCCCGGAGGCCGGCCCCTGCTCACGCACACCCCTCACCCATCACCCTGTATTGTGACCGCCCTGCACTGTGAGCTCCTCCCAAGTTGGACGGACTCAGCCCCAAGGGTCCCAGTAAGCGATCCCTGGGCGCCCCCTGGTGTCCACAAAGGGGAAATGCTTGGGCTTCAAGGAGCATGAGGAGGGGAAGTAAGTTGATCACTGAGCACCCACTGTGTCCTCTTGGGAGAGGTACTGTTGCTCCCCTTAAACAAAAGTGGACCCTTCAGCTCAGAGAAGCTAGAAATTCCCAGTGCCACCCAGCGAGTAGGTGGTGCCAGGACTAACCTGGGTCGGTCCAATTCAGAGCTGCATTCTCCCGTGGAGCAGGGGGCAGGGCGGAGGGAAGCGCAGCGCCATGGGGAGGAAGCCACGGCTGGTGGTTTGAGCCTTTGCTTGGCCTTGGAGGTGCCCTGGACCCAGCGGCTCTGATGGGGGTGGGGGGTTGGGGGACAGGCCTTCCCTCCGTCTTAGTACCAGTCAGACCTGCGGTAGATCTGAGCAGGGCTCACGCAAAGCCAGGTCCATCTCGGGGTACAATAGCGATAAATAGAATTTATTTTGTACAACTGTTACCAACATACACACAGCCACGGGGGCTTCCCAGGTGGGTGTTGGGGCGGGAAGGCTGGCCTTTGACGGTGGCGCCTAAAAAGTGTGGACAGACACACACAAGATGTGGACTCACAGCAGCTATGCCTGGCGGCCCCCTCCACAGGAATGGGGGCGTCGCAAAGGCGAGACCTGTAACTCCAGGCCAGCCGAGACCACTCAGCCGGGAGCGCCCAGAACATGGGGGGCAGAGGTGGAGCTGGGTGCTGGCTGAGAGCCAGGCAGGTTCCCTCCTCCAAGGGGGCCGCTTGTCTGTCACATGGAGGCAGTGGACGGGGCATCGGCAGGTCTGTGGGAGAGCTTGAGGGTCCAGGAGGGGCAACAGGCATCGCCAGCTCCCTGCCCCTCAGCCCACCAGGGGCCCCAGAGCCCCAGGAAGCAGGACAGGGTGATGGGAGGCCCCTGGGAGGCCGGTCCCCCATTCTGGGCAGATGCATGGAATCGCAGTCTTCAGTGACCTCTGAAGTGACCTTGTCCATTGGTAGCAGAGGTGCCCAGAGACAGCCCAGAGCCGCACAGCAGAACCCAAATTAGAAGCCAGGACTCAGGACACAGGATTCCCAACCTGGGGCTCCCTCCATCACATCTTACCCGCCGCTGCCTGGAGGCTCTGTATGCACTGAGAGATCTCGGTCCCCCCTCTCATCTTGCCCCCCCTGAGTCGAGAGGGGCACCAAGGTGTGATGGAGGGCCCAGGCCGGGGCGAGCCAGGCCTGGAGTCTTGCTTCAACTGACCACTCCCTATCCAGCCTGGCCCCCAGCCCGGGGGGTGAGGATGACGCCGGCAGCTTCCCCGCTCCCAGGTCTGGATGGCTCCGCCCTGCAGAGACAGCCCAGATGGTGGGCCCAGGGGAGGGTTGGGGAGACAGGGGGCAGCACACAGGCTGGTGGTGGCCTTGGGGGCAGAGGTCCTATCTGCCTGGATTTGACACAGCAGCTTCACCTTGTGTTTCTTCGACCTCATCTGTAGGGTAAAGGGAGATGGAGACACCACGGAGCAGGGAGACAGGCCTGCCCTCGGAGCTCCAGGCTCTGTGTCCTCCCACCCCACTGGGGGCCCCCAGACCCATCCCTCCCAGCAGCTACCAAGTCCCTTTCAGGCTCCCATCAAATCCTCCCAGTAGCTTGTGGGGAGAAGTGAGGAAGAATTTGTTAGCCCCATTGCACAGATAAGGAAACTGAGGCCCAGAGAGGGGCCAATGACCTGCCCAAGTCACTCAGTATCTGAGCGGCAGAGGATTCGAACCCAGACACAAAACTCTCAGCTGAGAGAGGACAGAGGGACAGGGAGACATTGGCCCACTTCCTCGCTGCCCGCCCCCCGCCCCCCCCATCAAACGAGAGCTGAGGGCTGGGTCTGACCTGCTCAGTCACCTCCGAGGGGAGCCTGGCTAACAGCTCTGCACAGGCAGAGTGGCGGCGAGGCAGGGACAGGATGGCCGGCATGGAGCAGAGGACACAGGCAAGCAGAAGTCACTGGCTGTGCCCAGGCCGGATGAGCCCAACCCCTCCGGCCTAGGGGGACCTCTCGGTCCGGTCCCCATCCCTGATTCCCCCCAGGACTGCACGCACCAGCTGGGACGTGTGCTGCTCAGCCGCTTCCAGCTGGATCTTGATCTCCGGACATGCAGGGTCCCCCGACTTGCCGGCATCTGGATGGGGTGACCGCGAGGGGCCTGGAGAGGGGGGCAGGAGGGAGCCACCTCACTGGCCACGGGGAGGCACCAGGGAGACGGGTATGGATGGGTGGTCGGCACTGGTTGGTGTTCCCAACCCGCCAAGTCCCTCCCCTAGGGAACCCCACCCTCACTCCCTTCTTTTGTCCCCCATCATGCTCCAAGACTCTTCCAGCAGCCAGCAGCCCTCCAAGCCACCCAATCATCTTAGGCTCAATGATGACACCTCCGTGACATGCCCACCACCTGGGGGATGAGAAGTGGTCTCCACCCTCAGTGCCCAGCCCTGACCCCTCGGCCATAAGAATGGCCCTACTTGGCGGGGAAGCTGCTCCAGCCTGTACCTGGGGAGCTGCCCCCACTCGTGGTGCTGACGCTGTCCTCCAGCCACGTGCTATAGATGAAGGAGTCCCGCTTGTGCGGAGTCCCCGAGGACGACATGCTCTCCTGGGGACGCAGGGAGGAGAGTAAGAGGGGGGTTAGCCCTGGGCCCTGGCACTGGCTTGGCACCCCTCCCCTCCAGGCCACCTTTGCCTCCCTGCGAAGAGGACAGGCCCACTGTCTGCTCCAGGGAGGCCACAGGAGGACAGAGTGGGAACAGGCACGCACCGCACATGCCCATTCATTCATTCAACAATCATTCACTGACGTTCTCGTGGGCCAAGACACCGAGAGGCATGGGGCCGGGTCCCCGCCCTCAGAGACCGAAGTCTAAGAGGTGAGACAGCTGGGAAGAGACCATGATCATCATCCCAGACCTGGCCCCCATCAGGCAGGGCGGTCTGCACTGCTCCTTGCTGTACCTGAAGCACCTGGAACAGGACCCGGCAAGGAACAGGGGCCCAGTGCAGGTGTGTTGAATGAAGAGTGACAAACAGGGGCTAAGGGCCAAGCCCAGGGTCTGTGAGGCACAAAGAGGGAATCAGGGAAGGCTTCCAAAAGGAGGCGATGTGAGGCTGAGCCGGGAACGGTGAGCAGGACTCAGCCAGACAAGGAGGGAGGAGGAGGCAGTGGTGTGTTCCAGAGAAAATGGCTTGTGCAAAGGCCCAGGGGTGGAGTAAGCCTCGTATGTTTGGGGGACTGCTAAGGAGTGCAGAACGGCTAGAGTGGTAAGAGATGAGGCTGAGGAGGGGACAGGGGGGTCTTCAAAGGTCTCAGAGATTGGGCTCTGGGTGCAGGAGTGGGCCCCCTCCCCCCACGCTGGGGAGCACGGAAAGTCAGAGTAGGGGAGGGTTAGTCTGCATTCTTCCTTCTGGCTGGGTCCCCCGATCGCATCTCAGCCACGCCCAGGCTCATGCTTCTACCAAAGAGCCCCCACTGCAGGCCGCTGTGGAGCACCCCCCTCCCTGGGCCTCTCACCAGGCCTGTGTCGTCCCCGTCCACACCCTCCGTCTCCTCCACTACGCTGGCGAAGCTGCTGGCACTGGACGAGGAGCAGGAGAAGTCCTTCAGCACTTCTGCTCTCTGGGCTGCTGTCTCCGCTCTGCCACAGACAGCACCCCATCAGCCAGCACCCACGCGGGGCCCCTCCTGGGCCAAGGCCCCGGTCCTCTGCCCTCCGGGCCCAGGGAGGCCTGCCTACAGCCCGCCCAGCGCCTTTGTGGTTGCTTTATAGCTGCCCTGGCCTCTGAGCCTCCTCTTGCCGCTGTCCTTCTTAATATGCGGATCTGGTCCTGTCCTCCCCTGCCCAAAACCCTCTCAGGGCTCCCACTGCCCCAGGTGAAGTCTCATTTCCTTGACTTGGTGCTCAATAATAACTGTTAATAATATTATCATGTAGTGCACATTTGCTCTGTGCCAGGCACTATTCCACATGTTTTTACCCGAATTGTCCCACTGCTATCACTATTGGACCCATCTTACAGATGAGGAGACACCAAGGCACAGAGAGGGTAGGCACACAGTCCAAAGTCACCCCTCCACAGGTGGGAGAACAGACGGGACCCAGCTTCCAACTCCACAGTCTGCTCTCAGCCCTCCCACAATTTTGTTCCATGCTCAGGCCTTTGTGTTTCCTGATGGGAGTCTCACTCTTCCCCTTAAATCCCCCAAAGCAAATTAATCTTTCAAAAATCAGCAAGGGCCCCCTCCTCACGGAGGCCCTCCCTGATTCCTCCTCGCATGGTAGGGTGACCCTCCCCACTCTGGGTCCGGCACACCTTGTTTCTCACCATCCCTGCCACCCTTTCCTGCTTCTCTGTCCACCTGCCTGACTTTTCATCTGGGCTGAGTCAGAGTCAGCAAAGAAGGGCTCAGCCAACAAGAGCTGAAGGGAGGAGCAGCCTGCTTGCCGGCCTCCCTGCTCCCATTCCCGCCCTTGCCCCAACCCTTCATGTGGGCCTGGCCCCTCAGTCACTCGGCTCAATGCACTGCCCTTCTTCCATCCTTCAAGCACACCTCAGGGCCTTTGCACTGGCTGTGCTTCTTCCCTGGAACCCTCTTCCCTCACCCTTTGTCAATGTCTTGCTTGAGCACCCATCTGACTGCCCCCCCAAGTCATTCTTCATCGCATCCCCTGCTTTGTTTTCCTCTGACCATACCTCCCTGGAAATAGCTTACCAGGTTATGTTACACTGGTTGTCACCAATGTATACCCAGGCCACCAATGTATTGCAGAGCGATGGTGGGTGGGTGTCAGAGGAGGACCGGAGAGAGTGCCCAGGCCTCCCCAGCACCCTGGTGTGGCAGTGCCACTGCTCCTGGCATCCCCCAGCCCAGGCGGGGATGGAAAAAATGAGCCCAGCACTCGCAAGCCCCGGCCCGGTGAGCCCTGAGCCCCAACCTACCTGTTCTTGGTCGTTGGCATCTCTGGGGAGCTCTGAGTGGAGGAGTTCTCTGACTTCGGCTCCTGTGAGGCGTGCCCACTGTCTGGGGTCTTCTGGCCAGCCGGGGGGCTCTCCCTGCAGGGCACACGGGGGCAGCGGGGGGATTCAGCACCAGGCCTGGCATCAGGGTAGAATGAGGCCCAGGTGGTGAGAAGAGGTCATGGGCACCTCCTGCCTCATCCCCACACCCTGTACCCTCAGGGGCCAAACCCAGAACAGTCCTTGCGGCTAACTGGCCAGGCCTGGGCAGGTACCCGCAGCACCTCCATAAGACAGGACACCCCCGAGTCCTCCTCTCCACGGGAGCAGGTGTCATTGTCTCTTTTGGGTCAGGAAGCTGGAGCCCCGAGATGGGAGGGAACCTGCCCAGGATCACAGCTAGAACATGCCAAAGCCAAGACGAACCCAGGATTTGCAGGATTCTGGGCTCTCGCGGCCATGAGGACTGTGCCAGCACCATTCCTGAGCCTCAGGGTGCCCACCACCCTGCTTCGCATGCACAGCACCACCCGCCGCGCCAGCCCCATGATGTTGGTTGTGTTCTTATCCTCACTTTTCAGACTGGGACAGTGAGGCCCAGAGAAGTGCAGTGACTTTCCCAAGGTCACACAGCCCCACTGTGGTAAAGATGGGATTCACACCCAAGAACTATCCTCAGCTTCCCAGGAGCTGCCATGCTGTGAATACGGCCTGCTGCCCACCGCCGCCCACACAGATGTACTCACAGACCCCCACAGACTAGCCGAAAATCCCAGCTCTGCCCCCCACTGACTGTGTGAGCTGGGCAAAGCCCCGAGCCCGCTGACCTACAGCATCCTGGTGTGCAAGGTGGGACCCCAAGGAGCCAGCAGAACTGCTGAGCAGATGAAAGCATTTTACGTTGGCGACGAGCTGGCGTGGTGCCTGGCACACAGCAGGAACGCGAGTGTACAGCTGTCACCAGGGAGGGACAGACGGGCAGAGGGCAGGCACTCCCGCCTGCCTGCTCTGCTTTGCCGCTGAATGGGGGTCAGAGGAGACAGACCCGTCCCAGCCGCCTGCTCCACCCACCTTTTCTCCTGCACCTCCTGTATGTTCTCGATGCCGATGGCGCTGCTGCGGCGTGAGCCGAACGGACCTGACTTCTTCCGCGTGGGGCTCTTCCCAGGGACAATCAGTGACTGCGAGGAGAGCCCCCACTCAGTGCCCACCTGCCCTGGGAGCCCCGGTGCCCCCCACATGCCACCCTGAGCCCTGCTGCTCCAGGCCCTGAAGCAGAGGCAACGAGCAAGAAAGAACAGGAGAAAACGTCCATCTCCAGAGAAAGCCCTCCCACTGCACAGAGAGCGCCCCCCGCGCCCCCCCCCCGAGATCACCCTGCAGGCTGGGGCCCAGGGGGCTGGCAGCCACTCTGCTGGGGTGGGAGAAGCCCAGTCCTCACCATGGCTATCCCCCCACCCAGGGCTTCGTGGGACCTGCAGCCTAAGATCAATGGGGAGTGGTATAGCAACCAAGCCCGTACCCCATGCTGGGGGAGGTTCTGGGCCAGCAGTTGACAGATACCCCCATTTGCACACACACAGAAGCAGGCCCCCATCTTCTTGGGGAAATCAGGAAGGTGGGCCCCAGGAGGCACGAAGGGCAGGAACCCCCAGACCAGCTCATGGTGTGGAGGGGGAGCCAGGTCAGAGGAGAGGGATGGAACTTCATGCAGAACTGGCGATATTGGGGGACGTGCAGCTGGGCAGAGGGTCTTTGGGTGTCAGATCCTGGCAGGGACTGGACCAGGACCCCAGGGGCCAGGACAGGGCCAGAAGCCTCTGGCCGGGGGCACTGGCTCTGGCACAGGTACTAGGCCCCAAAGCAGGTGTTGGGTGCCATCAGAGCTGTGAGCACTCCGACCTGCATGCCCTTGGACCTGTCCCAGGGGAAGAGGGCAACATCCCCAATATGGCCTTCGTCCTGAGAGCGAGCAGAGAGCAGCGCGTGCAGGCAGCCTCCAGAGCCGCTGGCCCCACGGGCGACAACCTCTTCCACGGTTCCTATGCCTATGGCACTGCCCCGGCGTCCGAATCTACTCGCACTTTTCCCGGGAATAAGCAATGACTGGCAAGCGGCAGAGGAAGGGGCAGAGACAGACAGGCATAGATGGTCAGAGAGAGAGAGAGATGGAGGGAAGGGAAACAGGGAAAAGAGCGAAAGATGGAGAAACAAAGACGGGAGTGGGGCAGGGGATTGGGAGACAGAAAGAAAAGGCAGGGGAAAGGAAGGAGAGGAGAGGGGGGAAGAGAGACAGAGACATGGACAAATGGACGGTGATACAGAAACAGGAACACATAGGAGGAGCCCATGAGAGGGGCACAGAGTGGAATACAGACAGACAGACACAGAGATGGGAGGAGACAGACAGAGGGAGGGAAGGAAGGGGGAGGCAAAAAGGAAAGAGCAAGGGAGAGAGTACGGCAGGGAGGAGGAGGAGAGGGAGTGCCAGAGGACAGGAGACACATAAACATGGAAGAAGTGCAGAGAGGCCAAGGGGAGGAGGAAAGGGGAGAGAACAAGGAGAGAGGAGAGAGCGGCAGGAAAGGAAGCAACATGAAGAGAGGGGAGAGTTGTGTAAAAACAAAAACAAAAACAAAAATGGGTCTGGTTACTGCCATGGTGGGTGCTGCTGGCCTGGCCCTGTCTCTGGGGCCCCTCTACAGCCACCCAGGGAGGGGAGCCACTCCAGCAAGGAAATCTGGGTTGGGGGGAGGGTGGGCTTGGTGACTGCTGGACAGCAGAGGACTTGCTCCCTGGCCAGGCCAGATCGTGGGGCAGGAATTGGGGTGGAAGGTCCCTCTCACCACAAGTGACAGTCTCACAGCACTGAGCACAGGGGTTGGCATGCAGCAGTCAATACATGATGGATGGAGGGATGGAGGATAAAGAAGGGGGGATGGAGAGGGGGGGCAGAGCAGTGGGTGCAGTGCCAGGGGTAGCCACGGGGCGGCAGAAAGCAGATAGGCCCACAATTGAATGCCTTGCCATCCTGTGTGCCCAGCACCCACCCTGAGTATTATTAGTAGCAGAAACCCACAGAGCCTGGCAGACAGTAAGTAATCACACAGTAGGTACTCACTCAGGAGATGCTCACACGGAAGCCCACACAATTCCTGACACACATTAGGTAGCCACAGCACATAGGCCCTGACACACGGGTGCTCACACGGCAGCCTAGGGCCAGGCACACGGAAGTAGGTGCTCACAGAGTAAATGCTCACACAACAGCTCACTTCCTGACACATCAGGCTTAGCACACACGATGTGCTCATTCAGCGGTCCATTTTCTGACATACAGAGGTTCTCACACAACAGCCCGGGGCTGGGCACACAGTAGGTGCATACAGTTTATGCCCATACAGCAGCCCAGGACCTGACACACAGTAGGTGCTCACAGAGTCCATGTCCACACAACCCAGGTCGCCACCAGTGTTTCAGGGCCAGGCACACAGCAGGTGCTCACACAGAAACCCAGGTCCTGACACAGAGTGCATGCCCACAGCCTGACATACAGTTGGTGCTCCCAGAAATTCAAGTAGGTGCCCGCACAGCAGCCCAACTCCCAGCACACAATAGACAGTAGGTGTTCAATGAGGAATGTGATATAGAGGCTGCCCCAGCGCTGACCCGAAGTCACACCTGAATGAGGGGCCAGGAGGAGTGGAGGGCCGAGGAGCTGGGAAGGAGACGGAAGGCTCTCGGCACCGCAGTGCATGGCCGGGGCCCGTGCCCCCCATGGAGAGCAGTGGCCAGACGGAGTCCGGAGCCCAGGATGGAGGACCCTGAGGCTGCAGGACCCTGGGGGAGGGGAGAGCTGAAGGCCCTGGGAGGCACTCACTATTCCAGCGGCCTTGGCCAGGTCAGGGTTGTTGGGTGCGAAGCTCCCGCTGTGGCTGGTGGACACGGTGTTGGGCTTCTTGTTGCTTAGTCCCATGGCATCCATGGACTGGCTGCGGCTCCGGATGACCCGCTGTGAAGGTGGGGTTGGAGTGGAGGAGGCACAGGTTTCTGAAACACCTGCTCCTCAGGGAAACCCAGGCACCCAGGCACCTGGTTCCTCCCCACAAATGACCACTCTGAGTGCAAGAAGTCCTATCCCATGAGGCCACACAAGAGTCAGGTCCACATGGTGCCAAGAGTAGTTTGGGCCTTGGCTCTGCCACCAACTCACTGGGTGAACTAGTGCAAGCCACTCACCCCCGAGCCTGTGAGCCTCTCGTGTGGATGGGGTGAGTATTAAAGAAAGTACTGGGTCACGGCCACAAGTGTGCACAGAGAGCCCTCCCAAAACCTCGGTTCTAGGAAGCCTTTTTTTAAAAAAAATATATTTTATTGATTTTTTACAGAGAGGAAGGGAGAGAGTTAGAAACATCGATGAGAGAGAAACATCGACCAGCTGCCTCCTGAACACCCCTACTGGGGATGTGCCCGCAACCAAGGTACATGCCCTTGACCGGAATCGAACCTGGGACCCTTCAGTCTGCAGGCTGATGCTCTATCCACTGAGCCAGACCGGTCAGGGCTAGGAATCCTTCCTAAAGCTTCTTGTCCTCCCTCCCTGCTTCTCTCAGCCAGGGCACCCTGAGTGCTTACTAGGGGCCAAGCACCCCGCATTGGCCCTCGCATGCCATCGCCCTGTGAGGCAGGCACCCTACACGCCCATTCACACAGGCTGAAACCCCAGCAGAAGCACGTCTGGAGCCCATATGTCAAACCCAAATCCTTAACTGTGGGCTCGGACCAATCCAGGGCCACCATCCAGCACCCACACGATGTGGGGTCACTGGAGCCCCCCCTCAGAGAAGACACCACTCCCGTGCTCACCCCACCCAGCCCTGTCTCCAGGGGGCAGAGGCAGGCCTCTCCTGGGCCCCTTTCTCAAAGACAGTCTGTTCCCTTCAGTCCAGGGCAGGCCTGGGCAGTTGGCTAAGCCCCTTAAACGAGCCCAGGGCTCCAGCTTCGTGGCCTGGGATGAGGTGGGCCCGACCGGCCTGGCTGGGCACTAGGAGGATGGGCATCCTCCTCCTGTGGGTGGAGGAGACAATGGCAAGGCAGCCACCCCCTGGCCTCCCCCTGGGGACCTGCAGCCTGGGGGGGGGGGGGGGCAAGGTAAGGGGTTCCGGTGCTATTAGAGGGGAAAAGGAACTCCCTCTGCCTCTCACTCTGGATAACAGTTGCTGAGGTAGATGGACAGAATTCTGCATTTTGCTCATTAACTTTTATTGTACTGATCTAACTGTTCTACAAATCATTGTCAACAACTGTGTAAGTTGTCATTTCCCTACTAGACAAAGAAACGGAGGCTCCGGGAATGATCAAGCCGGTGAGTGACAGAGCTGGGTTTGAACCAGGGAGTCTGTGCTCCTCACACGAAACTAAGCCAGAGAGCCAGGGGGGTCACCCACGCTGAGGGGCACAGCAGGTCCCTCTCCGATGGCCTCTTGGTTCACACGCCCCTCCAGGACCTGTTTCTTTTCTTCCATCAGGACAGAGGCCTCCTCCTCTCCTCCACCTGCTGACCTGGCAGCCACCACATTGGCATCCGAGACACCCTATTGCCACCCAGACACTCCAACTTCACCCCAACCCTCAGGGAGCCTGGCCTCCAACCAGTAACTCCTCCCTGGGCAGCGCCCACTTCACAGTCCCAACTGCAAGTTCCACCCGTCACAGAACACACTAAGTCTAAGCCCACACTCAGGCCCAAGCGAACCACTCCCCCACCCACCTGCACCCCCACGGTGAGCGTGACTCTAGCCACACCCCGACACGTGTCCATACCCCAACCACGCCCCACCCAGGTCCCTGGCCCTCGGAGCCCAGGTAGACCCGGCCCTTCACCTTGAAAGACTCGAAGAAGCCGCCGCCCCCGCCTCCGTTCTCCAGCTTGTCGTCGTCGCCGCCCAGGCCCATCATGGACTGGCTGTGCACGTGCAGGTCCTCGTACAGCGTCTCCAGGAGGGCCACGCGCGTCCGCTCCTGGGGGCCGGGCCCGCGTCAGGGGGGACCCAGCCATCAGCCCCTGGTCCCACCACT